ATATATGGGAAGCTGTGGAAGAGGATTACATTGTTCATCCGTTGCCAGAAAATCCTACCATGGCCCAACTGAAAAGTCACAGGGAGAGAAAAACCAAGAAGGCAAAAGCCAAATCATGCCATTTTGCTGGTGTTTTAACAACTGTCTTCACTACGATTATGATGTTAAAAATAGCAAAAGCAAATTGAGATTATTTAAAGTAGGAGTATGCAAGAAATGAAAGGATAAGGGGCATGCAAGTGCTTAATTTAATGAGAGAATTTGAGCTGCAAAAAATGAAAGAGTTTGAGACAATCAAAGAGACTTGAACAGGTTGCTTGGCATTGCTAATAAGGTAAGGTTATTGGGCACTCAATTTACTGATTCTAGAATTGTAGAAAAAATTCTAGTTACAGTGCCTGAAAGATATGAAGCATTAATAACTACCTAGGAGAACACAAAGGATTTGTCCAAGATCCCCTTGACAGAGGTGTTACATGCCTTGCAAGCTCAAGAGCAACGAAGGCTTATGAGACAGGATCATGTGGTTGAAGGTGCATTACCAGCCAAGCATCAAGGAGGAGAAAGTGCTGCAAAAAGTCAAAGTAAAGGTGAAGGTAAAAAAGAAAAATTATCCACCTTGTAAGCATTGTGGCAAAATGAGTCATCCACCATTCAGATGTTGGAGAAGACTAGACGCAAAATGCAGCAAGTGCAATCGGCTTGGACATGAAGATGTGATTTGCAAAAGCAAATTTCAGCAATATGAAGCTGATGCCCAAGTTGTTAAGGAAGAAGAAGGTCATATTTTTGTTGCAACATGTTTTTCAGCAAGGAGTAATTCAGAATGTTGGCTGATTGACAGTGGTTGTACAAACCACATGACATATGACAAGACTCTATTTAAGGACTTGAAGCCCACTAATGTCTCAAAGGTCAGAATAGGGAATGGTGGCTATATCTCTGTAAAAGGAAAATGAACCATAGCAATTTCAACGGGTTCAGGTACAAAAATAATCTCAGATGTTCTTTTTGTACCTGACATTGACCAAAACTTCCTGAGTGTAGGTCAGTTGATTGAAAAGGGATTCAAAGTGTCATTTGAACAACAACAATGCCTTATCTATGACATTGCTAGCAGTGAGGTTCTAAGGGTTAAAATGAGAGGTAAAAGCTTCTCATTTGATCCACAGAGGAGGAGCAGGTAGCCTATTACACTCAAGTTAGTCCCACAGAACTCTGGCACAAGAGACTTGATCATTGCCATATTGAAAGAATGTTGAATATGAAGAAGAAAGACATGTCAAGAGGTTTACCAATACGTTCTAACAATTTGCCAAATTGTAATGCTTATCAATTTGATAAACAAAGCAGAAGGTCATTCCCCGAATCAGCTTAGAGAGCCTCTCACAAATTGCAGTTAATTCACACTGATGTGGCAAGACCTCAAATAACATCATCACTACAAGGTAGTCTCTACTTTGTTCTTTTCATAGATGATTTTGCAAGAATGTGTTGAATTTTTTTTCTTGAAATTCAAGCATGAAGTGGCTGGAGTATTTATGAAGTTCAAGAAAATGGTGAAAACTCAAAGTGGTTGCAAGATTCAATGTCTAAGATCAAACAATGGGAAGAAGTATACATCAGTACAATTTAATCAATTTTGTGATGAAGTTAGGATCGAACATCAATTGACAACGCCTCACACTCCTCAGCAGAATGGGGCTAGTGAAAGGAGAAACAGATCAGTGATAGAGATGGCTAGATGCATGTTGCATGAGAAGGAGCTACTTAAAACATTAAAAATTCATTGATACAGAAAAGTAGTTTATGAAATTATTAAAAATTAATAAATGTTTACAAATTTAAATTTTGACTTATCTTAATTTGATAGAATTTATTTTTAAAGTGAAATAAATTGATTAGACAGAATTGATAAACTACTTTATATTTAAAATACATCTTTTATATTTAAAATTTGATTTTAAATAAAATATTTTAATAAAAATAATAAACAAACACATGTATTTTTTTAATAAAAATAAATAATATTTATTAATTGCTCTCTAAAAAATATTTATTTATTTCTTTTATAAAATTATTTTAAGAAGATCACATGTTCTATAAATATCTTAAAGTGACAATAGAGACACAAAATTGATGATAAAAATAATGTTAGCTAACTTTGTTAAGTCATATATTATCAAAATACTCAAAATTATTTATTTTAATAATATTTAATATGCTACAAAAAAATATAACACTGTCATCATGAAAATTGTAAACATATGATACTTAATATTGCAAAATTCATTTGTGTAAAAAAGTAACTTGTGAACTTAGCAAAAATTAATGAGTGTTTGCAAATTTAAATTTTAGCTTAAATTGATAGAATTTTTTATTTTTTAAATTATATTTTTATATTTAAGATACTTTTTTTATTAATTTTAAATAAAATAATCAATAAAAATAAAAAAAATATATGTATCTTTTATTAAAAAAAGTAACATAATATTTATAAACTACTTTCTAAAAAGCGTGGGCTAACCCACCTTTGGCCCTAACCCGAACCTACATTTTGTTTATATATTAGAGCTTAGGGCCAAAATAGACCCATTATATATAGGGCTTAAAAAATATGGGGCTATGTAGTAAGTTATATAAGAGAACTTGTGGGTCAAGGGCCAAATTGACAACTCTAATCACTAGAGATGTGCACTTCAATGAAGGTCAGCAATGGGATTGGAAGAACTCACAAAGAACAACTGAATCCTTTCACAACATTAGAGATAATCATCTTGGAAAGCAAACAACAGAACTGTTACAGAATGAATTAAAAGATGAACCTCCAATCAGAGGCAAAAGGCTACTATCCGACATCTATCAAAGATGTAATGTAGCACTTTGTGAACCTGCTAGTTGTGAGGAAACACTAAAAGACCCAAGATGGAAAATTACAATGGAGGAGGAGATATCTATGATATAGAAAAACAAAACGTGGGAGCTAGTTGACAAGCCAGACGACAAAAAAGTCATTAGAGTTAAATGGGTCTTCATAACAAAGCTTAATGCAGATTGCTCAATCAACAAGTACAAGGCCAGACTTGTAGTTAAAAGGTATGCACAAATTTTCAGTGTTGATTATTCTGACACTTTTGCTCTTGTGTCCAGATTAGATACAATTAGATTAGTGCTAACAGTAGTTGTGCAAAAAGGCTGAAAAATATTTCAATTAGATGTTAAATCAACCTTTTTAACGAAGACTTACAAGAAGAAATATACGTGGAACAGCCAGAAGGATTCATGAAGCAAGGTGAAGAAGATAAAGTCTATCTTCTCAAAAAGGCCCTCTATGGCCTAAAACAAGCGCCAAGGGCTTGGTACAGCAGGATAAATGACCACCTATTGAGCATAGGCTTTACAAAAAGCGTATCAAAGTCCACTCTTTATGTGAAACATAAGGGAAATAACCTTATCATAGTTTCCCTCTATGTTGATGATCTTTTAGTGACTGAAGATGACACAAGGCTTGTTGAGGAGTTCAAGCAAGAAATGATGCAAGCTTTTGAAATGACAAATCTTGGTCTCATGACCTATTTTCTTGGAATTGAGATCAAACAAAGTGAGAATGAAGTGTTCATTTGTCAAAAAAATATGCAAAGAAAATATTGAAGAAATTTCAAATGGAGGAATGTAGAACTATTAGCACACCAATGAGTCAAAAGGAGAAGTTAAACAAAGAAGATGGTGCTGAAAAAATTGATGAAGGATATTATCGGAGCTTGATTAGATGTCTAATATATCTCACTGCAACAAGGTCAGACATTCTATTTACTGTAAGCCTCTTGTCTTGATTTATGCATTGTGCTAGTGAAATGCATTTAAGAGCAGCTAAAAGAATATTAAGGTATGTCAAAGGCACTGTTTATTATGGTGTCAAATTTGAGAAGTGTCAAGAATTCAGGTTGCATGGATTCTCTGATAGTGATTGAGCTGGATCCATTGATGACATAGAGTACTTCAGGATACTTTTTCAGTCTAGGCTCAGGAGTTTTCTCATGGTGCATAAAGAAGTAAGAGATTGTAGCACAATTTACTGTAGAGGCTGAATTCATAGCAGCAACATCAGCTGTAAATCAAGCTCTATGGTTGAAGAAGATTTTATGTGATTTACATATACAACTGAAGAACAAAACTCAAATTTTCGTTGACAACCAGGCAACAATTTCAATTGTAAACAATCCGGTGTATCATAGAAAGACTAAACATTTCAACATCAAGCTCTACTTTTTGAGAGAGATGCAACAAAGTAGAGAAGTAAACTTAGTTTACTACAAGTCTAAAGATCAATTGTCCGACCTATTTACAAAGTCACTGCCTATTAGCAAATTTGAACTTTTAAGGCAAAAAATTAGAGTTTGCAGTTCCTAAAGCAAGGAGGAGTGTTAAACATATGCTTTTGTTACTGCATGTTAAATTTTTTTTTATCGTTTTTAGTTTATTAGATAGGCTTCCCAATCAATAAGTGGTTCCTATACTTTAGGAGCAAGTTGATTTTTGTTATCCACGTTTGCTGATATCTTGGTTAAGTGGTTTCTTTTTCTTTATTTATTGTACTGTTACTGATTAATTTAAATGCATTCCTTCTTCAAAATTATAAAACAAAACGTACTTGTCCTTGTTGTTCTCTATTTTTATTTTTTTAGCTCCAATAGTACTTTAACGTGTTTTTCAATTTTTGTTGTCACCTTTTCACCCTTCTATTTCAAAACTGGTTTTGATGCTTCTAAATGTCTTTAATTTAATAAAAATAATGAAGGAGTAAAACTATTCATACTCTAAAACGAGGATTAGTGCGTATCTATACGCACGAAGTTGACAGAATAAAATTTCATGTTTCAATAATATGAGATTTAATTATAAACAACTCATATTAAGGTTCTATGAAGTCGAATAAATCAACATGTCACATGGCCTCAATGTTATAAGACACAACAACGAAACAAACCATGAAATCATAGTCATACGTTTGTTTCATTGAGCTCTTTCAAAGTAGCCTTATAGATCTTATCCACTACTTCTGTCATACGTTTTGCTTGGTCCTCTATTGGAAGCTCATCTCCTGTTGAGTATTCTTTACATGCCATGTTATATATAGTGTTCTTATTCGTCGTACTCACAACCACCTGCAAGGTTTCATACAAAAGTCCAGTTCTAATTAATTAACATTTTTACGTATATTCTAAGAAATTAATGTGATTTGTATGAGGTGGGTTCTCAAACGTTACAATTTATCTTACAGCATCCAAATGATAGCCAAAAAAAACAGCCATTGTCGTTAGCAGTATTTCTCTTAAAAGGATTAATTTACTGATTTACATGCACAAAGGTAATCTATTATTATGATCTACTAAAAGTTAATTAATCCTACCATTCAAATTTTAGATTAATATGTATTGTAATAACTTGAAAGGTGATTATGTAAAATAAAATGACCTGAACAGAGGATTTAGCGATTAAGCTTCGGACAGGTCCTCCTCGAATTCGACCATCATTTCCAGCCACTAAAACAGTGACCAGACTCTTCTTGTTCTTATTTAGTTTTTCTGGCAGTACAATGTTACCTTCAATTGAAGCAATCTCGAAATGCCCCTGCACGTCCACACGTATTGTATTGCCCATTAAGAAAAGATGTTCTATTATGATCAGAAGAAATTCATATTCATTGGAAGTTGAGCACCGCTATTTCTAAGAGTAGACAAATTACAACAGAAAATAAAGTATGAAGACACACTTGTAAAACAGTGTTTGCAACTAGAGCTTCTTGTGGATTGAGAAGTTCAACGTATGACACCACTCCAGTTGCTCCCAAGATGAAGATCTCTTTCTTTGCAGCATATGGTATTAATTTCTCTAAAATATCCTGAAAAAGAATATATAATAGCTGAGATTTTGAAATGTTATACAATGCGTGATTAACTAATCAAACAATTTAATCAATGATTATTATTAAATCTCCTATTTTATAAAAAGCTATTAAATATTCAAATTTGACACTTAATATTAATGAATCTCAACTCTTTGAAACAATTTGCAACTTGAAAAAGATAATTGATGTTACTCGTTAATTTATAAACCAAAACTAACGAGGAATTTTCAGGGAATGAGATGAACAATATATAACATACAATGAAGGAAAAAAAAAAGGAAAAATAATAGCACCTCACAGCTATTCACGACGACCAGAGTTACTCGAACGGAATTCCGATTTGATCCTGCAAAGTGCAAAAGCAAATGAAGACCCAAGTTCATTATTTACGATGATATTCAACATAAATAATGGATAAATGTTAGTAATATTTTTTTTAATACATTTTTATAATTGATTATTTTTTTAAAATGTTATAATATTTAAAAATAATAATTTATGGAGTAAATATTTTAACTTTTTAATATGTTAAAAATATAATAAAATATAAAATAGTAAAATAATTGATATAGTTATGGTATTTTTTATGAATGTTTTTATCTTTAATTTAAATTAAAAGTATTCAAATAATTTATATTTAAAACTTAATGAAATGTGTAATTTGTAAATGATCGAGTAGGTATAGTACTGATGAAATTTGACAAAGTAATAATAAGTTTTTTTTTTTAAATGTAATTGTGATAATCAATGGTTAATCAAAAGACAACAAAATAATCACAATATATTTGCGTTTAATTTAGTCTTGATCGCATGTTGCATACATAACACTTTCATCAAATTCAAACTTTTAGAACCATAGAAAAGGAAATAAAAGCAAGTAAAACAATGGTATACGTGCATGTGGTTACCGTGTTCCAAAGCTTGCGTCAGCATATGATTCATTTCCACCCTCATTGCTGCCGGAACCGGTGCACTGCCGCCGCTGCCGGTAAAATTTATCGGTGGGGAAACCTCACTGGGTTGTCCCATGCTTGTCACTGCAACATTTTCTTCTTGCTTTGCATCGACAGCCACAGAATCCATCTCATTGTTGGATTCAGCAACTTGAGTTTCTTCTGTGTGCATCATCTCTCTCTCTCTCTCTCTCTCTCTCACGACTCTTGTTTTATAGACTCAAAAATGAAAACTAATAAACAATTTAAAGATACATTACCATTTAGAAGAACTATTTCTTTTTTTGAAAAAAATATTATCTTTTCCTCAAATCAGTTAAAGGAAAAAATAATTAAATAAATAAAAATAAAAAATTAGTAATCTAATCGCTCAACGGGAATAAGGAACTAAAATCATAGCAATAAATCTGAATTTTTTAAATAAATTATTGCTATTTGTAAATGCTTAAAATTAAATATAAGATCTGAAACTAATAAAAATAAAAACGTAATTTAAATGCCTGTTGTTAATCTCATTTTAGGAAAATGAAAACCCTGATCCCTCTCACTGCCAAGTAGTTAAACTTTTTATGATGTTTTATTTAATGAATAAAGAAAGTATAAAACATGTTTATGTTTTTAATATATTAAATATATGGTTTTTTATTGAATAGTTTTTTGTAAAGTATTTAAAAATAATAAAAATATATGAAAATTATAACTATCCGAAATTCACAAGTTTATCGAGAGTAGTAAATAAAAAGAAGCATTGCACTAAATCTTAAATATGTAGAAGACACAAATGTAGAATGCAAGAGATTAAGGTTATGTTTAAATTTTATGTTTAGGAAAAGGGAGTTAGTAGAACTTAACTCTTGTTTGGAATTTAATTAATTATAAAGAGAAGAGTTAGAGATTTTTCTAAACTTCACAACTCTTTTAATGTTAATTTTTTAATTTCAATTGATTTTTTTAAATAAAATTTTTAAATGATTAATTTATCTTTTTTTTTTCCTTAAAAAAGTGTAATGTTAATTTTTTTTAAAAAAAGAATAGCAATAAAATAATTTTTTCAAAATAGGTTAATTTTTAAAGTGATAATTTTTTTAAAAAAATTATAAAAAATAAATATTAATTTTTAGATAAAGAAAAATATTTATTTTTGTATTTTTTTAAAAATTTAAAAAATAAAAAAATATAAATAAAAGATATAAATAACAATAATGTTATTTACATAATTAAACCTCCAATCATTCTATCTTTTTAGTATTAAATATTTAAATGAGAGAGATTAATCGTTTCTTCTCCTTCAAATTTTTTTTTTAACTCTTGCAAACATTCAAATAAAGTCTAAATAAGAAAGAATTATCTTCATTTTTCTATGCAAGAGATCACAAAATTTATGATAATTATTGAATTAAAATAATCAAAATTAAATTTTAAAAAATATTTAGTCTATAATTATGATTTTATAAAGTTCCTTCAATTTAAATAGTCTACAGATAAAAGATATACAAATCTATATAACATAATCAAGGGTAAATTTCACACATCACAACATCTTGTATATACATATAGAAATAAAAATAATAATAATTAAAGTTACAAATTTTCTAAGATTGTAATATTATATTGAATTTCAAACATCATTTAGTATTTATAATTTTTCTAGAATTAACAAATTTTAATTATTGTTTCCAAATAAAAAGATTCGTAAATCTATGCAATTAAACGTTAATTTTTATGTCTGCTAAAATTTCGTTTTGGTGTCTTTCCCAAAAAGGTTAATGCTTTTCTACATACAATAAAAAGCTATTTCTAAGCGTGATGAATACATTATGAAATAAAAGAGAGCCTATATCAAATATTGTAACAATATTCGTACAGTAAATGAAAAGTTCATTAGTTAGTATAACGCATTATATTGTTTTTTTATCAAAGTAGGAATTTATAGCTCAAAAATGATAGATAGAATAAGTAATAATAAATGTTTCATTTTTTTAATATTTTTTTCTAAAATTAACTAAATTTATTTATTATTTGTAGGTAAAAAGATTCACATAATTGAAATTGTGAATTAATTAGCACACAATTATTCCAACTTATGCAATAATAATTTTAGAATTGCAATCTTTTTCAATTTGTCAAATTGAAAATACATGGTAAAAACAATGTCTAAATATGATCATAAATGATAATAAATGCATAACATCTTGTAATATTTATGATTTTTCTAAAATTAACTAAATTCACTTATTGTTTACTAATTAAAAGATTTGTAAATCTATTCATTAAAAAATGTTTTCTATACATAGTGAAAAAAAAAGTGTGGATACTAACTTTTTACTTATAAATAAGAACTGAAGTTAAATTAATTTGTAAAATGGTTAAGTTCCATGGGTTAGTAATAGTAAAACATATATAAATATATTCCTTCTAACATAAAATATTTCCACCTTTTTTAATTTTAAAACTTTGTTTTACAAAATTGTTACAGAGCAATATTACAAAAATGACATATTCTATGAAATTAAGAGAACTTCTGTCATCACACTCATATTTAGTGTCACTTCATTTTTTTAAAGTAAATTACCCTTACTATTTATATAGTTATAAGAAAAAGAAAAAAAAATAAACAAAAATTACTTAAAAATGATAATGAGTAATAATAAATACATGGATGTGGTAATAGACACACTATGAAATTAGAGTTAAACAAGCTTAATCAATATAACCTTTGTCAGACAAAAATAAACTACTAGTATAAAGATTATAACTCTACTAATAACATAATACATCATACAATTTTGTCAATATAAAAAATTAATGCATTTAAATATCCATCATACAATCGTACACCACAGTAACAATATAATCCCTCCCAAACTAGTAAACTATTGTTTCAGACTTCACGATATTCCTGAACAGAATAAAGAAACAAAAAGGAAAAAAGACGTAAAATGTTGATCCTCCCACGCATCATTTATAGGTTTTAAATTCTCTTTTACCCTGTTGACCTAAAAAACAAGAAACTGTTTACCTCCTACGCCTTATCAACGTTATACAACTCCACTGCTACACACTCTGCTCTCCAATACTAGCCCTAACAAAATAATAATTTAAAGACTTGGAAGCACCATGTTGAGATGATTAACTCTGCACTCACCATGTATACATTATGTTTTATATAATTCATAAGAGAGGACTTGACAATAACTATAATGTTTGGTTACCCGTTATTTCTCAGGAAAGTGTCAATTATTTAAGGCTAATTCGGAAGAAATATCGTTATGAATTTCTTGGTTTCGTTTAAGGAATATAATGGAAGAGGAAGTTACTTAAACTGAGTGAAAAAAAGAAATAAAACTTCATGTAACAGAGAGAGATTTATACACTATTCACATGTTGATAACATTACTCACCCGGTGACATTTAGCAAAATCCCAAGGCTTTGAGAAGATACCACCTGGAGAAATTTACTACAGCATTAGGCTCCAGAAGATTTCAGACGTTAAACCTGAACTTGGGGGCAGCATGGAGAATACATAATGCGGCCTTTATTATCTATCATACGTGACTGAATCTTCACTCTAGCTACAGTTAGCAGCAAATCTATTGATCAAAATATCATCTACCTGACCCCAGTCCTTCCGACAAAAAGTTGTGTGGTTATCCCTTCCGCTTAGGTGAAGATCTGACATTCTCAGATCCCCTTGGTAGTCCCTTTCTCAATCGCTTTAAGGGTGCAGATCTGAAATCCTCAGAATCGACCAATTTGTCATCTGCAGGTCGAGGGTATAGCAAGAATTAGAATGAAAACGCAGTGTTATATTCAGAATTAAACTCAACGATTTCTATCCCAACACTACCCCACCATGCCACCCAAGTCCTAACTGATAGCCTAACTAGAAAGGAGAAGTGTCAGCAACACATTCTATTATACACTCTTAATTAATAGCTAAAATATAATAAAAATCATACACACAAAAAAAAACAAATGGATCTCACTCTTAATTTAATGTTTATCATTAATACTTTTGTACTTTTTGATATTATAGCTAATAATTGAAAGTGTTAAAAAAAAATGTGTTCGAATGTTGCTCACACTCCTCAACTAACAATAGCACAGGTTATATGTTAGATAATGGACTAGGTACCAGCTGAACCTATGTAAAAGCCCCAGTCCAAACGCGTAAACTTCCAAGACAAAATCATAAAAGCATTCAGTAAGCAATCCAAAATTAAAATCTTGCCAATCCATTCTTTTGATCAAATTGAATTTCACACGACAGTGATGAACAATGGTTTATACACCTAATTTCAGGCCTAGTCTTTTGCAAGAAGCAGCATGATAAAGATTTTAACGGCACAACTTCAAATTTTATACAAATTTTAAAGTTACATGTTTTTAAAAACAAAATATAAATATTGTCTTAGGAATCAAGTGATCTAATGTCTAACCTGTGCCAGAGTTTTTAATACCAGAATCCATTTTTTTACTCAGAGAATCCTTCCCCATGCAATCATATCCTGACCGCTTCGTGGAAACAATGACTATGCCAGGCTTCATCTTCTGTTCAGGATCTGCACATTGACCTTTGAAAGGCTCCATATAACAGAACCTAACATTGCAAGCCAAATATACAAAAGATTCAAACGCAACATATGCAATAAAAAATAAAGGCACAATCACAAATTCTGCAATTCACGCATGACCAAAGGCTAACTTCATCTATAAAGTCAACTACTTGTAGCATATACTGTGTCACTGGCACATGAATTCTAACCCCATTGTAAAACAGAAGCACAACTGGTTTACTCAACATATACACTGGTTGATTAACTTCATTCTATTTCATCTATAGATGGCAGTGGTGTTGAACTCAATCCAAACCAAGCCAACAAACCTATCCAGAACATTGAAAAACAATCAAAACCATTTTTTTTCTACCTACTCTTTCCTTTGGAAATGGACCAGTTTGACCAAGTTTTGAATTTTATTTAATCAGACCAAGTTTTGAATTTAGTTTTGCGAAACTGATTCAAACCATACTAAACCAATCAAGGGTGTCATTGCACCTTAGAGGTTTTATGGTACTATGTTTGGATATATTAGGCAAGATGGTGTTATCCACAATTTCAATGAACTCTCGCCCCCTGCCAAGGAACTGTAGCAAGGAAAAAAATTCTTCTTTAATTGGCTTTGTATGGGTTACTTGGTGGGTAAGTACTCCATGGTTCAACATCGTATTTAGGCTTGTCCATAATTCTCACTATAAACTTAGCTTGATCCACCTTGGTTTGTGTTCTGCTCAAATCACAATCTAATTTGAGAATTCAGAGGGGCTCTTGTCCCAGTTGATTCTTCTACATTGGCCCCTCATAGCGGTGACTGTGGTTGATCCCACAAATTAGGTAAATCACTGTCACAAGTGCAACCATTGCTACAAAGTTGGCAATACTATTGACTGGTGTTAAGCATTACATGGTTGCAGGATGCTCTGGTGCAGATTGCTCAAACTCTTCTATTGACAAGAGATTCATCTTTAGCTACTATGTTATTATTGGTAAAAAATGATTTCTTGTAAAAGCAAGAAATATAGTGATGTTTCAGGATTAAGTGCAGTAGTAGAATATTGAGTTTGAATATTTCAGGATCAAGTGTAGTAGCTTTTGAGAGTGAGTTAGGCCAAAGTTTCTTAACATGGTATCAGAGCCTATCCAGTTTAAATGTTGGGCTACCCACCGATATCCAGATTATTAGGTTTCACCCATGCATATGTTCAGTTTTGCAAATTTCACGTGCCAGATGTTACTCCTTATAAGGTCTAGGATAGTGCTCCTCCTAAAAGCTAGCTTTTGATAGTGAGTTAAGCTCAAGTTTCTTAACAAGTTGTAATCTTGACAATTTGTAAATTAATCTTGTACAAATAGTAAAACTGAGTTTTGAGGAAGTTACAAAAATGATACTCAAATGTGACAATCAAGCAACCCTCCCTTTCAGCTCATTGGGAAAAAGATCTTATCAAGAAAACATTACTATTGGTTTGTTAATTTAGATGATCAACTGCAGATATCCTCAATCATTAAGAGATAATCCACTTAGTTATATATGTACAAGCTTGATACATATGATTTATAAACTCCAAATTGGAGGGGGCTGTCAGATTATGTATGAGCTGCATGTAATTATGTTAATTAGGGGAACAATTATCGATTGTATTTATGAAGTTATAAATAAGAGCCTTTGTTGTGTGAATTAGACACGTGAAATTCATCACATGTATCTCATTTTCTTTCTCTCTTAACAAATACAAACTCCACTGAAAATCCTTTTCATCAAAACAAGTTGAAAGTATTCAGACATCCAAGATCAATTAATGGCACTTAGTTATCAGAACAATCAAAGAAGCATTATCATAAAACTAATACAGGAAACCCTGATGAATGAAAAAGAAAATTAGTACTCCATATTAACGCAAACAAGTAATTATGGACTCCTCATAATAAATTACACAAGAAGAAATATGAATGTGAAATATCTTATGACATACCATTGCAAAGGTAATTTCCTGCTGTCAAAATCAGGAGGTAATATCCTCCACTTTCTGCACTTGTCACATTGTACCCATTCACAATCTGGCTTGTATACACAATAATCTTTGTCCTGGGAAGTAATCAAAGTAAAATTCAGCACACAACCCCAGAAAAGGAAGATCTACATGAGCAAATTCTGATATTTGTCATGTGAAAAGGGAAGTTTAACTCATATTTCTTCCTCTAATATCCTATTTAATCATACATACCGGTGTTGGGATCCATGTCTTATGCAAAGAAACCAGAGTAAATGTTATCCTTACAACACGTCTTGTGAAAGGTGGACATTTAAGTATTCACTATTTGAATTGAATTATTGGTAACAAATTCAATTATTACAAACAATATTTTGTTTTAAGCCTTAGGAACAAGAATTTGACAAAGGTACGTTGTTTTGATAGAATTTACAGGAGCTTTACCAACTTAAGTGAATCAAAATAAATGTCCCAGTATTCATCCGCTTTTCCACCAAGCCACTGCTCAAGACATGCATATATTTCACAGTCTTGGAATCCCTGCTTGTTATTATGCACCCACACACAACCATCCTGATCATCCTATGCACAGAAGAAAGAAAAAGTACAACAGCTTAGATGTTGTAAAGAGAAAGAAAAATCCTCTAATGAAAACAACATAAAACTATTCGGTAGGCAATTTAAAAAGAGCCCATAAGGAAAGAATTGATTAAAATGACATACAGGAAGGATTACCATAGAAGTTTTATCAAAATATAAAAACACCTCATCAGAAGAACTTTTATATATAAAAAAGTCAGTGAAGGTTATGAAAGTGTGATTCCAACTGTGAATAGCCAAGCTAATTTTTTAATCGAGAATCATAACCCCATATTAAAATTGAGATTTATTGATAAAAATTTATTTATTTTTTCAATTACCTTGATGAGAATTGTGAAAGAAAAGCAAAGGAGAAAAAAAATGAACAGATCATTGAATCATGCAATTCATATTGGTGATATGAAATCACACTGGTTTATGCATGTATTGCTCAAATTAAAGTCATTTGTATTCAAGCACATACTGTTTCCTCACAAGTTTCAAATGATCTGTAAAGCCCAGATACGTCAAAAATGGCAAAGTACCCGTATCGGACACGTATCTGATACTGATACGTGTCAGATACGCTTAGATACGTATCCAAGAAGTATCAAAAATTAAATTTATTTTTAAAAATTAAATTTAAACTGGATACGGTTGCGATACGGCTCCAAATATTTTGATACGGCTTGGAAACGGCTCCAAATCAGCTTGGCTAAAAACTTATTTCAGATTGAGTGAATCAACAAAATTGAAACGGGGAGTTTCACTTCATCTTTCACTTTCCCATTTCTTCTATCATTCGTGAGTTAGGAACAAAACAAAACACCCAAAAATCAGCTAGGGTTCACGGTTCAAAACTCATCTATTTCTCCAGTTTCATCATCGTTTTGAGGTTGGATTCTAGACTCCACGGTTCGACATTTAAAATGGAAGGTACCCAGAAAGCAAAGCGAAGAGGATAACCCGCACAACCAGGTTCGACCCATCGTATCCTTTCTTCTTCAACACCTCCGGCGTCACGTAAGCTAGCATTCTGCACGGGGTGAGGAGCATCCCGGATTTCCGCTGCTCCGGCAAGGCAAAGAGGACAAAGTTAGAGACCTTGAGTTCCTCATTCTCATCAAGGAGGAGATTTTCGGGCTTCAAGTCAGTGGGTGTGTTCTGAACTTTGTTCCTCTTCTCCCTTCTCACTTCTCTGGACTTCAGCAACAATTTTAACATTTTTTCTCCATTCCTGCAGCGCTTCAAGTCAATGGGTGTATTCTGAACTTTGTTTCTCTTCTCTCTTCTCTTCTCTGGACTTCAGCAACAGTTTTAACGTTCTTTCTCCATTACTGTGGTGGTAAAATCTCACAAACTTCCTCTTTCATAATTTTATATTTTCTATTCATTTTATAGCAATATTCAATAAAGTAAAAATATTATTCTTGCATTTTTTCACAGCTGTGTTTAATGACAAAAAATGAGTTTTGGTTCTGACTCTAGTTTTAGAATTCCAAGTAACTTTGGTTCATTAGAATTTCAAGATGATCATGCTCCACTTTGGGCATTTGTCACTATAAAAGATAAGCTAGGAGATGGAGGAGGCAACAAGCTATGGAGTTGTAATTTTTGTGCTAAAGTGGTCAAAAGTTCATACTCAAGAGTGAAAGCACATTTACTTAGAATATCGGGTGCTGATGTTGCTCTTTGTCCTAAGGTCACTCCTGAGTATTTGACTGATTTGAAGAGAATTTGTGAAGAAGCTGAGAATAAAATTAAGCCCAAAACTATCCCACTACCTTCAGCAGCTCCAGCAACCTTATCCCAGAAAAGAAAAAAAATAGGAAGTGATACACTAGAATGGACTTTCAATGTGGATAAAAGAACTCAACTTAGAGCAGAGATAGCAAGAATGTTTTATTCAGCTTGCTTATCATTTCGTCTTGCTAGAAATCCTTACTATGTAAGCTCTTATTCATTTGCTGCAAACTATAACCTTAGTGGTTTCCTTCCTCCTAGTTATAATGCTTTAAGAATAAGTCTTTTACAACAAGAGAGATCTCATATTGAAAGATTGTTCCAACTTATAAAATCTTTATGGCTTATAAAAGGAGTTACATTGGTTTCTGATGGATTGATAGATGTTCAAAGAAGGCCATTGATAAATTTCATGGCTGTAAGTGAAGGAGGACCAATATTTTTAAAGGCTGTTGATGGTTCTAAGGAGTACAAGGACAAACACTATATGGCCAGCATAATAAAGGATGTAATTAATGAAGTAGGGCCAAAAAATGTTGTTCAAATCATAATAGATAATGCTCCTGTTTGTAAGGCAGCCAGGATGTTAATTGAAGCTAAGTTTCATCATGTATTTTGGACTCCTTGTGTTGTTCATACTTTGAATTTAGCATTGAAAAACATATGTGCAGCTAGAAATATTGATGGAAATGAAAATGTTTTCAATGAGTGTCATTGGATCACTCTCCTAGTTGATGATGCATCTTTTATCAAGACTTTCATAATAACTCACTCTATGAGATTGGCTATTTTTAATGAGTTTTCATCTCTTAAATTACTTTCTGTTGCTGAAACCCATTTTGCATCAATGATTGTCATGCTAAAAAGATTGAAGTTGTTGAAACGTGCTTTGCAAAATATGGTCATTAGTGACCAATGGAATAGTTATAGAGAAGATGATGTTGATAAAGTTGTCCATGTGAAAGAACTTATTTTAAATGATATATGGTGGGATAAATTAGACTATATTCTTTCTTTCACAGATCCTATATATAGCATGCTTAAAAAATGTGACACAGATGCTTCTACTCTTCATTTGGTTATGAAATGTGGGATTCCATGATTGAAAAAGTGAAGACAGTCATATATAGGCATGAGGAAAAGGAAGCAAATGAAGTTTTCAATTTTTATGATGTGGTTCACAGTATACTGAATTTTAGGTGGAGTAAGAGTTGTACTCCACTTTATTGTTTGGCCCATTCATTAAACCCAAGGTAAATTTCAACTTAGTTACTGTCTCTTAAAAAATAAAAATCATACTATAACAAATTTTTTAATCATATGTAGGTATTATAGTGAAGAATGGCTTAGAGAAACTCCAAATAGAGTTCCTCCACATCAAGATGATGAAGTTTCAAGAGAAAGGAACAAATGTTTGAAGAGATATTTTTCTAATGCTGAAGAAAGAAAAAATGTTTTTGTTGAATTCTCGAATTTCTCATCTTGTGCAGCTGACTTTGCTTCTTTTGATTCGATTGAAGATAGGTGGACATTGGACCCAAAATCTTGGTGGGTAATGCATTGATCTTCTACCCCTTTATTTCAAAAGCTTGCCTTAAAGCTTCTTGTACAACCTTGTTCCTCATCTTGCTGTGAGAGGAATTGGAGTACGTACTCATTCATTCATTCTATGAAGAGAAACAAAATAGATCCAAAAAGGGCTGAGGATTTGGTTTATGTGCATTCCAACCTTCGTCTTTTGTCTAGGAAAGAAGAAAAGTATACTAAAGGAGAGACAAGGATGTGGGATATTAGTGGAGATGTACATGATCCACTTGATAATGGTGCTGGATTTCTTGAATTGGCTGAATTATCTCTTGATGAACCAGACTTAGAAGTTATTTTTTTTGTAGATGATGAAGATAGAGAAAATGAGTGTGACAATGTTAGAATTAAATAGTATAAAGGCAGGACATTTTTTTTGTGATAGTTCTATATTTCTTTTGGATAAAACTACCATTTCTTTTGTGGAATTCTAACTTGAATAGGAGTAAAGTATGTAATTTTTTTATGTGTTCATAGACAAGGAAAGATATGATCGCATGTATTTTTTTGTAAAATGTGATCATTGATATGTAAATGTAACACATTAATATAAATTAATTATCAATATCTCTTTATAAATATTATTTCATTAAATTCATGTTAAAGTATCTAAGCCGTATAGTATCTTGAAATTTAAATTTTTTCCGTATCCCCGTATCGGTATCGTATCGTATCGGTGTCGTATCAAGTATCCGAGCTTCATAGCAAATGATTAATGATAAACAAATTTTAATACCGCATACAGAAGAATTGTTAAAACTAAGCAATCTAAATTCAAATATCACTCTAACAAAAAACAAATTATATTGCTCTCCCTATGTCATGAAATCTTCTCCTGATGAACTTCATATAAAACTAACCCACTACACTTCAATAGCACTAAGGTTCATATCATTCTGGCAGATTGTATAAGCACACAAGTACATTTGTAAAATTATGTAACCAAATTAAATGGAGACCCTCTAACACCCTCTTCCCAACTGTCGAGAAAGAGAGAAACAAGAAGACATAAGATGAATTTGTGGTGGAGCTAAATATTTATAACAATAAGTATAAGAAAACTAGGCCTAACTCACTCAAAAAAGGTAGCTCAATTCGAGAGTGAGTTAAGCCTGGTTCTAAAAATAAGTCATAATAAATACATGACCTACAGTTACCTAGAATCATGCTAATTACATAGCTACCCTCTTTATTTACATTAATTTCAACACCAACATTCTATTATTGGGTGAAATTCATTTAAGACCCATGAAATGATGGGACCCAATAATGAAGTATATTTTAAAAAGGTGCATGTGAGAGTGTGCTACTACAGAACTACTAGCTAGTATTCTCAAAGCATATAAGGTAAACCAATGCAAAACAATATATTACCTGAACATAAAGAAAATGGAAATGCCTACCATTAAATTGGTCACATCCATGACACCAATTACACCACGGCCCGCATCTGCATTATGAATCATGCCACCAACTCTCTTGTAAGCCTATGAAAGTTGGATAAAAATAGGGTTACATTCTTATGCAAAGGCTTTAAGTTAAGCATACATAGTCCACTTCATCATGAAGCAAGAAATCTCTTATAAACAAATCCATGTTCAAAACAAAAAGCTGCCTCTTCATGATCACTAAAACTAAGTGTACACAAGTAATCCACTGAGCGAGGAAAAGCTGCAGAGAACATTAAACAAAAAAGCTCTAATACTGGATCTCTCATGCTCAGCGCAAGCAAATGTAATGACTCCAACGTTGCAAGCATGTATTAGCGGGCGGGGGAGGAGGAATTTATAACATCCAAATATATATAATTCTCCAAAATACACAATGTTATAATAATTCAATTCCAGATCACAACAAAAAGATTCCACATAGTTATTAGAAAGAACCAAGCTCACATTCACCACATTAATGAAATATTCCTCAACATTTCACAATAAGATTCTTTCCTAAGAAACCAGTTGTGGCTGTGCCCCCTCCAAAAGAGATATCTCAACACCATCAAACTTCCAGTATAGATGACAACATAAAGCGACAAAAAATAATTAGGAAAGGAACAAAATACAATATTCTCCAATCAACTTGACACTTGACAGTAAGACAACCATAAGACAATTATTTCTGTTGATACAGGAGTAACAGGACACATCCTCTTGCCTGACAAGTTATCAGCTGCCAGTAAGTTGTTTCCAAATGAGTAAGTCTACAACCAGGCAATGAGAATGAAAATAGAGAAAAAGAATTAAAGAACTTTGCTCCAGTATAGTGGCGGTCAAAATCTCTCTGAACTGAACCAATATTTGTCCCCTCAAACTAAAAAGAAAGAAAACACTGTTCAGGAGAGGAGGACCCAGAAGCCTTACAAACAATACATTACAGAACTCAGAGCTCCACAAACGCATGGCACTCTATGGTTTTCTTATGTTGAATTAGGGGGAAAAAAGATGAGGAAAAGTGATGGGCAAAGATTTCCTGTGTCATATCAAAGTTTCACACGCACTAAACATTTCAAACAAGCTACAACAAAGTTGCTTCATAAAAATTTCGGTGCCCATATGTTTAGCAATGGAATCACAGTGAAAACCCCTGGTGGTTAGACAACAAAAGTTTTGGCTCTGAAAGAAAATGCCTACGGTTTGCAAATTATAGAGTTTACAGTTCTTAGAATCTCAAACAAAGAAGTTTATTAGAATGCTTGAGTGAAAATATATTGTCAAAAATAATATCTACATTCTCAGATCTTACTGCATTATCTAGTCCATTCCAAAAAGAAGAATTTTTAGATGTAATGACTTTTTATTTCAAACAAAAGGCAAATACCAAGCTAAAGAGAAAACTAACTAGCTCAAACAAAAGGCAAATACATAAACCAAAATTTTAAGCACACAAATTATTAAAAAGACCAGTTACTGAACCTGAACATCATAAGTGAAAGAATACACGCAACATTTATCACAATATTAAACCCATTTTTCTGATCTGACCTAGTGGGATTAGACTTTGTTGTTGTACAGAATTAAACCCACTAAGGGGCAACTTGGTACATGTAACATTTTCACAACAGTATGTATCTCACCCGATAATATTAGACGGGTACATTTGGAATGCCTGAAACCCTTCAGACATACAATACCCACATATCCAAGATCTACATATTTTTGAGTATCCCTTGTATAATTGACTGGGAATTGATCAACAATACCAAACAAGGCAACTTGAGTTCCAGGTCTTGATGCTAGGCTATGCCACATACTCGTGTGTAAATGTTGGCATATCAAGCGCCCCCTAAGAATTACACCTGAACCATGGACTAACCCCTTACCTCAATTAAGCGACCATGCCAATACAAAAATATTCCACAGTTTGCCCGCTCCCATTCTAATTGACTGAATCCAAGAATCAATTCAACAGGCTTCCCCAAGATATGACCAGTTTCAATAACAGTTTTAGACAGGACATTTGCTAGTGGTCTACTTTTAACCTGAGCAAAGATAAAACAACAACAATTAGATTGTATACTTGGAAAGATGAAAAAAACAAAATCCTTCATCCCATTCCCCCACCAAAATTTTACTACTTAGAACACAAGAATACAATTACCAGTGTCTGTTGTACACTTATCTTCATTCGAGGAACTAAGAATATAACTTCTAAATACGCTCGTAGTGAATAATCCAATGGAACCTGAACACCACAGAAAACATGACAAAAGCAGCATAGTTTCAACTGACAATCTCATAAAAGTAAGAGAGATGCCAAACCTTTTGACTAATCTGGCCTGGACGAGAACGAATCCTTTTGCTATGGATTAAAATGTCACCTTGGTGAAAAGAACTCCCACCTTTCAATCCATCATGCCATTCAAGACAATACTCTGTTCCCCATTTATCCAAGTTCCATATGTATATCTGTGTTCCTGTACCACCACCAAACAAGGCTACCTTTTCACCAATAAGGAACTTATCAAATGGTGAAAATTCCTTAATTGCTTTCAAATTGTATTTTGCCAAATCTTCAGACTGAACACTATGGTCAACTTCCATATGCTGTCCTTGTCGGGAGTAACTAACTACCGGAATTTCAATATTCTGCAAGCAAATAAAATGATTAATAAATAGTAAAAATTAAAAGAATGACATCAACATTTGGAATAGTAAATTAGAACTAGTAACACCCAGAAACAAGGTAGAAGCAGGATCATTATTTTTTAAACCCAACACTATCTTGTCAAAAATATAAAGAGAAAATCCATCCTACAGTGTAACTTACATCTTTGCCTTCATTCACCGTTTGCGAAAGAAACGCTAGAGATCTGGAATTAGCTGTCTGTGTGAGAACAAGAATATCTCTCCCAAGTCTCATAGCTCCTGTCTATGGAATAAAACCACAAATCAGCCACACTTCAGAATTTCCGGGAGTAAGAAGATACAGGTGTGACTGAATAGATATTATAGTTATATTTCTTCCAATTTAAAATTGTACGAAACAAGGTCATGAATTAAAATTTATCTTATGTGTCATTCTTGTAACATGAGAGATGTCTAGTCAAGATTTTGAACAAGAAAGGCTATCTAAGATTAATTATGCCTCCATAATTATGACAAACTATCAGCATTAAAGCTAACAGAAACTCTTGTGCCAACAAACTAAGCAAGAAAAAGTAATAAACCAAGCATCTTCTTTTTTTGTAAAAGAAAATCAGTCGACAACAGAAAATTAAAAAAGAAGAAATGAATGGATGTAACATCCCCCTAAACCAGTTAAAAAAATTGGGAAGAAGTAAAAGAACAAAGGCATAAATGAACACTACAAAGGAAAATCCAAGAATTAAAATTAATCAAACGCCATGTAGAAGTTAGAATCCATTTACACAATCCCATGTGCCAAAAGACAAGAATTAATTTGCAGAGTTCCCAGCTGAGGAAGAGAGAGAGAGGCAGAGAGCAGAGGGAAAACTACCTTGAATCCAACACCAAATCTTCCAATGTGATCCTTGTCATCTTTATCGGGTTGTTTGTGCCCAAAAGATATCATTTTCATAATCTCATCATGGTTCATTCCATTACCATCGTCAATAACTGACAGCATAGGAATATCCTTCCCAGATTTCTTGAACTTAATCATATCTACAAAAATGTCCATCCTGTTGCATCAAAGTCAAAGCAATAAATACAATTTGAGGAGGATACAGTTTTATGGGTGATTTTTTTTTTTAAAGAATCTTAGGCATCAACTTATTCACTTCCCTCATCCTCTCTTCAAAATGAGCGATGTCAAAACAGGAAAAAGAGTAACCAGATGGCTATAGCGTTTTACTTTCAACAGAAAGTTCAGACACATAGAGAAGCATAAGTAATTCCATATATGCTATTTATACATTTATAAAAACATCTCAAGCAGGTACTTGAAGTGAGAGAAATAAAGAAATACAGAACCAGTCTTTACCAGTGAAAAACTATAGGACCTAATTTACAGCCATTCACAAATAAAAAGTTCTACTAATAAAGAAATAATAAACAATATCTAGTCCACACTCCAAATTATCATAGATATCATTAAACTTCTCTCCCCTAAGTTGTTTAAGATTGATAAAATCATTAATCTTTCCTAACATTTTACACATCAAACCAAAAACAGTACTAGAATGTTCAACTCCTATATTGCCTATTCACTTTCATATGCCATCAAAGCCATTCCAAGAATCTTTTGGAACAAGTAAGGAAAATATAGTAAACTAAACAACTCAGATTATGTTTACAGACAAGACAGAAATGAGTCAGTAGTGCAAAAAAAGAAAACATAAAACCTACTTAGTTGCTTTGGCATCCCTTGAATTATCAACAAGCTCAGCTATTCCTCCAAAAATCCATCCAGAATGAACCTGACCAAGAGTTTTCAGGTAACTCGGGTCTGCCCGTATGAAATTTCTCACAGGGAGTCTATCCTCCTGTTTTGCACGAGACTGAAATCCACTAGTTTCAGCTGTTAAACAATGAGGGTGATCTTCAGCTGGAGGAGACTTAAGATCTGATGAACAAACAACTGCAGCATTTACACGACCTCTTGCCTTGAAAGTATTAGGTCCAATGCATTCCTCAGCCAAGTGTGAGCCTGCTAGGAAGAATCTATAACAAATTACTTTCATCCATGTATATATGAGGCAGGATTAGGAATCAAAAATTCATTTAAAGAATTCAACAGTCTTCTTTCCTATGAACAAAGAAATTTCAATTTCCAAGCTAGCTATGCCAAAACAGCAGACAAATTAATGCCCCAAACATAAATAATAAGTGTTCATCAATTATTTAGGTCTTCTTAAATTTAGAATTAAGTGGAACTCAATCCAAAAGTTAGTTTGCAAAATGAGAATTGTCTTAACCTTTATAAATAATACTTTACCCATACTTATAGTCAATATGAAACTCAACACACATTCCTCACATTCAGAATTGAACATATGGTGCACAAAGATTATACGACTATATTCTTTGAAAAAGTTGCAAGACCAAGTAAATTCCATTTGAAAAAGTTAGAGCACTAGGAAGGTTGCATTGGAAAACAACATAGCCAAGTTAATTGTAGCAGGAAAACCCATAGAAATTGGGTTTTTTTTCCCAATAAAGGGTAGCCCAATATTAGATCAATAATAATTTCAAAAGAATAGGTGTCATGTAAGTTGTGTCAATTAGGAAAACATATTCGTAATTCTTTTACTAGTCGTATTCACCGTTGTTTTACTTCTCCAAGTCTTAGTGTATCTACTTTAGAATCAAAATATTTTGTTAACTTTATTGATATGGTTATTCTAGATGTAATCGGTTATTTTTAATGAAAAATCATTCTTAGTTATTTTCTATAATAAAAACTTTCTTTTTTGAAATTAAAACTCAATTTAGTGTTTCAATTTGTAGTTTACAAAGTGATAATGCTCGAGTACTTATTTAATTAATTTCAAAATTTTATAGCTTCTAATGAAATCCTTCATTAGACCTCTTGTATTCATATTTCACAACAAAATGAGATTGTTGAATAAAAAAATAGACATTCTACTCATATTTTATTGTGTCATAGTCAAGTTCTTCATCATTTTTGGGTGATGTTATTCTTACTGCATGTTACCTTATTAATAGAATGTCATCCTCAATTCTTCAAAATCAATTCCCTCGTTCTGTCTTATACCATTGTCAGTACCTTCAACTTTTTACCCCCTCGAGTCTTTGGGTCAACCTACTTTGTTCATGACTTTAGTCTCAAGCTTGATAAAGTCTCTCCACGCTCTCAAGTGTTTTTCTAAGTTACACTAGGTCTAAATATAGTTATAACTCTTCAGCTTTTCGTCCCTATTTAGTTTCGACTAATGTAACTTTGAATTTGTTCCTTTCATTACACCCAGACCTCTTGTTCCAATCTAAGACTACTTCTTCCCCTCCTCTAACTTCTATTTCTTTCCATTATCTTCCACCACAACCATGTCATGCTTTTTCAAAACCACCTCCTTCACATCCTCTACAGGTGTATCACCATCGCCAACCCCTCTATGTACCGCCAATGTCTTACGATCCTACCTCTGCTCGTTCCTGGTGCCACTCACCCTCTCCTCTAGGTTTTCCTCTTTAGACTGAATTTCCTACTACTCTTTGTAAAGGTATATGCTCTATCTATAATCTCTCTCTTCATTATGTTTCTTTAACTTACCATCACTTGTCTTCTGTTTCTATTCCTCAGTCTACAAGTGATGATCTGTCTCATTCCAGTTGGAAACAAATAATGATTGACAAAATGTGTGCTCTTTAGAATAGTGATACTTAGGACTTTGTTCCTCTTCCTCTTTAGAATAGTTTCCCATGAGAGAAACAAACATATTGAGATAAACTGTTACTTCATTAAAGAAAAGATTTTATCCAGAGACATCACTTATAGCTTTGTAAATTCTCATGATCAACATGGAGATGTATATACCAAGTTTATAAGAGGTCCTTGAATTAGTTATATATGCAACATTTTATATTCAATATTTTTGTACTAGTGGACACTCAATAATTATATTGCAAATAAAAACAATTAACTGCAGATGACACACCTGATTCACAATCCCTTGGACAAGTATCTACAGTATATGTATTGTCTATCTCATATGCAACATTGACTGAACTAGATGTTGAGGCTATTGCAGGAGGTAGAATGTAAAACTTGTACAGCTCAAAGTTTATCATAGCAACCTACAAAAACAGAGTCTTGGTGATTTTCATTTAACTTCTGGAAAGACTAATTTTACTTGATTTGTAATCATCGATGAATAATAAATGGTAGCACTACAACTCTACAAGGTCATGTGAAGGGTGTCAAGGGCCTTAATCACCTAGGGCAACCAGGTAAATAAGTGAATTAAAAGATGAGCATAAAAATTACGTGTATGTCACATATCACACCATGTAGTTATACAGTCTATTGACAAAAAAGGGAATCATATTAAAAAAGGCATCTTACTACCCATCAGATAAAACAAAAAAAGGAATCATACTAAAAAAGATGTTAGTGAGCCCTGTATGTATTGTATTAAATATATATAGTGCCTACACTCGGTCAATCCATGTAAGTCTTCACCTTGTCCCTTCGTTTTCCCCTTTTGCGAATTTTAGCATAGATTGTACACAAATCCACCATTGATTTGAATTCAAGTATTTTTTAAACATAACTAACTATAAATCAAAGATAGATATACTTTAACTTTATATATCTCCTCACTTTAGAGGAGTTATATCCAATAAATACATATTGCCAAAAGAATCATCATTGAAGTGAATAATTTGCATCTGTAAAATTTAAATATGGACTTCTATCACCCATAAGGAGGCATAATTTGTCCTGATATACATAACTAAACTAAATTCTGACTTAAAATAATTAAAACTTGCTCTAAACTTTGCTTGGAAACGTACCAATCAATGTAATTACACAAATTTATCACAAGCATGTATCTATCAGAACAAATATAAAAGCAAGTGTAGAGTAAATAAAAGGATGTACCAAAAATAAATAAATAAAACTTCATACCATGTCATGTTTGCATAGAAAACTCAAAAACCTCCCCCATTCATTCATGTCGCGTTCGTTGTCTGGAGCAGGGGTTAATGAAAACTTAGGCAATCTAGAAAGATTTATAGAAATCTTCGTTTTTGAAATTATAGAAGTTATGATCAATTCTTTTGGCCTGCGAATATTTTCAGGGCAACAGGTATATTCATATCAAACCATAAATTTTATTTGGCTAGTCAGAAAACATGTTATAAAAAAAAATTTCCAAAGTTTTTTTTTTTAAGAGAAAAAAAAAACTATACAATTCATCCGGTGGGTCTTGGCACTTGGTGGTACATATAATTTTCCGATCTTTCTTGAGGATAATGGACATGACCAACTGCATAAATGTCAATAACATTAAAAAAAAAAAAAAAAACTATATTAAATAACCCATGCTCCATGATGTATATTTAAAAATTAAGATCTCAAAAATACTGGGAGTTGTTTGGTTTCAAATCACGATTTCTATTTTCACTTTTAGTTACAAATTTATCGTCTTTTTTGTTCTATATTTCTGTTTTCCAATATCTATACAAAAAATATTGAAAACAGAGAAAAAAAGTTATCTTTAATTTTTTGTACAAATCTTTAAAAACACAAAACATAATATATTGACTTCATAATTAAAAATAACAAAGTGCATTTGGGTTTTACAGGTCATGCAGTAGATTCACATTTAGTAACTTTTCAACATAAATCCAAACACAGAGACAAAATAAAAAGTTTTCTGAATCCAACTAGCCCTAAACTTGTAAATGTTCCTTTTGCGTGAATAAAGAAAGTTGCAAGACATTCCAATGATATTATGGGGACAGCCCACAATATGCACACAATCACGCGGGTGCAACCGGAGATGAAAAACAATAGAAGTTATATAAGATTAAAAACGCATCTTGGGAAGCGATTATCCTGAACGTTAACATGTAACACAATCGTAATAAACAAAATTAACCTAACAACGTCATCAAGAAAATAATAACATGCACCAGTTGCAGTGCAGTACACTACAAAATTCCACACGAATATCAAATATGCAAAATGCAAAATGTATATTTATTAAAATGAAGTAAAAATATGATAATATATCAACAATAAAAAATATTTAAAAAAAAAAAGTGAATCAAGTGACAGACTCACGGAGAAGAGAAGAAAAAGAGTGGACTGAGAAAATGAAAACAGCAGAAGACGAAGGGAGATGAAGCGGTTACGCTGGGAGCGAGGCCAGTGACTTGTGTAAAATTTGAACTCCCATATAAATAGTTCATTGTTGTAATGACTAATATAAATATTATATTTATAACTTATTTTCATTTTTTAAATTATTAAGAATCTAAATTTTTTATTTCTTTTTATTTTTTAAAATAAGTTATTCTATCTAATAAAAAAAATTTGTAATAATAAACTAAAATTTATATTAGTATAATATTATTTAATTTACATTTTAATTTTCTTTTGAATTTTATCACCACGTGTTAATACAGATAAATAACTTAATTTAACTTTTAATTTATTATTTTTTAACTTAAAAGATTTTATCTTTTTTATTTTAATCCTGTTTGATAAAATAAAACATTTACTATACATAAAAAATATTCATTTAATTTAAGAACAATAGTATAATATATCTTTAGATTTAAAATTTTTTTAGTTTATTAATATCCATGTAATACACGGAAAATTTATTAATGATTTTAATAAAAAATAATAATTTTAATATGTATCTTAACTATATTTGACAATTTAAATTTAATTTTATAAAAAATATTCAACATATACAAATGAGGGTGAGGAATTCTATTTTTAATTACTGCCACAGTTAATCCTAATTTCATCATGTTTGTTATCAACGTAAAATTTTAATTTCAATAAAATAAAAAGCATGGTACCTAAAGCATTGCATCTAAATTTTGTTAAAAAAATTTAATCTATAGATAATATAAAATAATATTATATTTATAAATCGTCAACAATATTAAAGATTTACGTTGAAACTATCAATTTTTAGATGTTAAAAAATACACTTATTTTAATTCAAATTAATTTTTTAAATTTAAATTTTTAATTCATTATCAAATATGTTAATCATTATTATTAAAAGATATTAAAATTGAATATCAAAGCAATAATTTATCACGTTGAATATCAAAACAGAAAATAACGTTATTTTGAAATTTTTTTAAAAAATTAATTTTTATTCTTAATTTTTGAAATTTTTAAATAATAAAGTCTTTTAATGATAATAATTAACATATTTCATAATTATTATTTTATTACTTAATTTTAATATTTTTTATTAATAGTTAATGATAATAACTAATATGATTAATGATTATTAATTTTAAATATTAAATTTTGAGAATTAACTTATTAAATTATATATTTTAAAAATTAAAGCAAAATTGTATTCATTATAAAAATATTTTTCTTGTCTGTTAGTCGCATAAGATAATTAAATGAGTGTTTGGGACTTGACATTGACATTGAATTAAATCACACAACTCTCTTGTATCTCACAGGTTTCTATCATTAGACGACTCTATTTTTATTTTTATTTTGTCAACGTGATAGTAGAAAAAATAACTAAGTTTATATTAGATAGATGATAATTTATAAATTATCAAATTGATAATAAAAAATTTACTTTATAGTAGTTGAACCTGTATATACGTTGTGAACTTTAGAAAGGAATAATGAATTTTGAAATAAAAAACTTTAATAAATAAAAGTCAAACATACATTGGTTACAAATGCATACACGAATATAAAGTAAAGTAATAATATTGCAATAATATTGAGTTACAAACACATATTTTTGAGGAGTAGAATAAACAGAAGAGGTGATAATGAACTTTAAATAGATAAACAATCATACCCTGATTAATAAAATATGTATGTTACTCTTTTATATATTTTTTCATGTTCTTCCCCTTTGGGAATATTTGGGAAATAAAATAAAATATGTAGATTCTATAATTTTTAAAATTATTTAATTTTTTAATTGTAATTGTGTCAAATATTCATAGAGAACTTTATTTTTCATAAATCCTATTTAACTCGTACTCGTACATAATTATTTCTCGTGAAAGAAGCCTGCATTGGAGAAAAAAAAAAAGATACTTACTTTATTATTTCAAATTTTACAATAAAATATTTTAAAGATTTAGAAATTGCCTTTCATAGTTGAAAGATTTACTTGTTATTTTATGTAAAAAATAACAGTTGTAGTGACTATTGCAGTATAACGAGAACATTATTTTTATTTTACTAAAACATTATAATTTTTTATAAGTATAAAATTATAATGTTTTAAATAAATTTTCCAGTAATAACAAAAGTCGTTGTGATTTGCTATTGTTAAAATATTTTATGAATTTATATAACGATAAACCAACTTATTATTTATTTCATATATGTGTGTAATGGACACAGTTTTTGTCATCAACAGCTGCTTTGTCTAACGAGACTACTATGAAATATTTACTCTCTCACGTAATAAAGTTGTTGAGAAAAGCATTTTCTATCTCAAATTTTCTTTTCGGGGCAAAATCATTCAGTGTACCATTTTTTGGGTCTCAGCCTTCATAATAAATTTGTGGATTCCATTCATTTCCAGCATGGGGAATAGTCTGACTCTTCTTGTTCTTCCCTCTCCTCCAAAGCCACCACACTGTGGAGTACGCATACGTGTTAAACAATATATTCCCCAATTCTAATATAAAAAATTTCTAAATCTTATTATTGCTTTAGATAAAGCATTGAAAATCATTCACTTTCACCATAACTTTCATTTATTGACTAGCAATTACACCGAAATGAATTACCGAAACTATGAGATAAATCGAATTTAGAATTTTTAAAAGATCAATTATAATCCCTGTATTTTCAATCATTTTTTAAATTAACAAATCTATTAAAATTTCACATTTTTCTTTATTATAACGGTAATGATTTTTAAAAAAATGTTAACATTGTTTGATAACTAAGTGCCAATAAATTTAAAATAAATGATAATTAGGAAGAAAAATTAATTATAAAAAAACTATATTTATCATTTTGAATTAGAGTATTCCATAAACTGAACCCACATAAAAATATTGAGGATTCTTCTTGACATGATATTATACTTAAGTTTTATCTCTTTGAAATTCTTGATTCAATTCAGAAATGAGGGGAAAATAATCGTTATATTATTGGATATGATAAGCTTCGCCAACATCTTTATAGATGTGACGATTGTTCCTATGCTCCAGTAAATCACTATAGTTCAAAAAGCATTGCACTCATCTAGCTGTTGTTTTCCAGAAAATTTTAGCATACTGCCAAAATAAGTGGCTAACACCAGCAAAATACAAGGTCATACAACTTGAAATGAAGTTTGCATCAGGAACACATTATCTATTACACATATTCAAAAGGGATGATGTCGGTGTTATAGCTCAATTGTCCATTACCTACGTGTGCAGGCAGAGGTTATTATATTAGAGGCCAGAAACAAGAATATTGTATTTATGTGGCCAAGTTAAATAATTTTCATATACACTTTCTAAAAATTATATGTAAGAAACTTCGGTTATAAAAATTTCTGGGGGACTATAAGTAAACTACCCTCCCAACCTTGCTTTGGTATTTTCACCTCCAATGTGACAATCAAAAAAGGATGATGAATCATTAGCTTGTTAACTCTCATAAACTGCTACCATATACAATTAATCAATTCAATCGGCTTAGTGCACTTGTACCATGGAGATAGCATATATATCAAGCAATATTCATTAGTATCAATAGCAGAAGCTAGCATGTTCGGTGTACTTTAGCTCACTGAAGAAGAAATATAGGCTTTCATTAACACATACACTACGGTTCCTGAAGACATTAAATATTTGACCTATGGATTTAAGCAGATATAAATTAGGAAATGCTTTAACCATGAGGTAGATCAATAATGAACGATGTCTATATGTTGGTATGTGGACACAAATTAATAACAGATCCCGTATGCAGATTGAGTTGAAATATGCACAACAAACCTTATTCAATTTTTTCAATTTTTCATCAGTGATTTATTCGCTTTATGTCACGTAATATCCTCAACATCCATATTCTCTTCTTTAAAGGCCTTTACCTCTTATCAAGTTATTTCATGTTAATTTTTCTTTTTCATATTTTGCATTTTGTATTGATAATACAGTTCAAACTTAAAATCGCCTCCATCACGCTTTCAAGGATCATGAGTGAACATTTAGTCCTCAACTGACTGTTCATACGGAATGAATAAGACCTTCTAGCAAGTGAAT